GGGGGGGGGGAGTTTCCCCAAACGGGGTGGGCGCGCCCGGTTTGCGCAACGTAGGGGGCCTGGACTCTGTACTATACCTTGCTTTTAGTGACAAGAAGTAAAAAAGAAGTACTTCAACAATTTCCACATTTGTTTTTATTACACCATTAATTAGAGTAGTTACTCAATCAATTGTTTGAAAACAATTTTTCATGTCAATGTCAGAGTCCATCAAGTCCCCATTGTCACTTCCTGTTTCATCATCATCCGCCGTCATCATCATTGTGTCTGTTTTAGCCCCTGTTCTATCATCAGCGCCATTATTCTCAACCATTTCCAATGCGTTTTCCAGCATTGTATCTTTATTTTTAGGTCGGCCTCCTTGACCTATACCTGACACCCTGCTCGTTCCATAAATTTATTGCTGGCACTGGATCAAATTCCGTGATTGGCGGGGACAGCAAATTGATGGCATTTTATTCAATATTTAATTTTTTTTTCAATATATTTTATTTAGTATTGATCACAATTTTTATTAGATTGCATTGGATTGTATTACAACCTAGATACAATAATGGAACCCAACAAGAGTAGTATGTACTTAGCAATAGCAACTAGATATATCTAGTTGCTATGAGCGGCTCGTATAAAAATAGTTCCGCCGCAATCGCTAGGGCGGCGGCACTGGCGGTCCGGTCCAACAAAAACAAGTGTCAGTGACCGCAATGAACACTCAGTCAATGACACTTGACAGATAGTTTCAATTTATTTGCGAAAAAATGCCGAAAACACAGTGCTGTGTGCCCCAATGTGTAAATCGTGGGGGTTTTCAGTTTCCAAGCACAACGAGGGCTGATAGTATTAGACGGCGATGGATAGTTGCAATCAAGCGAGTTGATGTTGAGAATCGAAATCGGCTGTGGAGGCCGACAGCATCAAGTGTGGTGTGTGTCGATCATTTCAACGATGAGGACTTCGTTAAAACAACTTATCATGGTATGCATCGTCTCTAATGATTCTATAATGAATAATAATAATGACAATCAAAACTGTAAACTTAACTGGTTTCACTACACGTGTTTACAGATTACTTCGGCACCAAAGGGCAAATGGTTTTGTCCAGATTGTAGAAAAACAATGGCTCTCATTAAACGCAAAGTTACCAAACCGTGCCCGTAACTCGAAAATATGTGATGTAAATAAACATTGTGATATTGCTGTAGTTTAGATTAAAATGAATTGTATTGCATTGTAGTGTATGTTTCACGGACTTGTTTATAACAGTGTTGTTTCTAGCATCTATAAGAAAGTTTCTTGGGACTAGTTTTCATTGTGATTAGTAGCTCCAAGAAACGGTATTGCTAGGGTTAGAATACCGGTGATTACCGGTTAGAATACCCGTGTATTGACGTTAGTCACACAGCCTGGTCGGGTTACGTGATTAGTAGCATAGACATAGTGGTGTTTCAAGACTTGTTTATTTAGTGCTAATCTGGTAGATGCAAAGGGTGCAAGGGGTCTATACTATAGTTTCAAAGTTAAACAAATATACGAGTCGACTGCGCCAATTAACTCTGTTGTGTTTCTGACAAAGAGTCAATAAATAAATCGTTTATTGTACAACAATAGTATCGTTTATTGTACAGCACTAGTATCGTTTATTGTACAGCAATGGTATGGTACGACGATAAGAGTTGCATAATCGCACACTATCTGTGATCAGTCTTTATAAGTTTAGAAAACGATAAGTTTATAAGTTTATAAGTTTAGAATCCTGTCGACCAACAACGAGGACGGGCGGTGCGAAGATGGATGCCTCCAGTAATAACAACGAGGATTCTTTCGAAGAACCGTTTTCTAAACTTATAAAGACTGATCACAGATAGTGTGCGATTATGCAACTCTTATCGTCGTACCATACCATTGCTGTACAATAAACGATACTATTGTTGTACAATAAACGATTTATTTATTGACTCTTTGTCAGAAACACAACAATATATATACACATTTTATAGTTAATACTAGACTCAATTGGAGAAGTTTACCATCAGCGGTGATAATGGAGCCACATGAATATTGGCGTTTCTCCAGTAAGCGCTTCAATGCACGGTCCTCCCTGGAAGCCAAAGCCTTCTTCGAATACAGACATCTCGGCTTTTCACACTGAAAACACCTCACGGCATCCCTTGCATGCTGGGCAGTCAGAAAACTATTCGGACATCCCTATAACACACAGATAAAATCAAAAATATTAAATCGTCTGTCTACAACATTTGATGTTTCTGTCCCCATTAAAACATTGAATGGGAGCAAGCTTGGTGTCATTTTTAGATATATCATGCAAAAATTGCTTTTGATTTAGGCCATGATTTTAGAACCTTTTAATGCATATTTAGCCTTACACTAGTTACAGAAATTTGTATATTTATGAACAGTCTCCGCGAAACTCGGTTTTGCTTTACTGAACCTACCGGCTTATAAATCTATTTAGCATAACATAAAACAACATTTTACCAGACCGGACAGATTTTTACCAGACATGTCTGGTAGGTTTGACATGTTTCGTGGAGACTATGAAATTAATGTATTAAAATGTACCTGTTGTTCCTCAGCTACTTTAGCTGTAGGAGTGTTGGTGCTGGAAGGCATGTGGGATTCATCTGTTTGTTGGCCCAACAGTGATTCGAACGTCTGATAGTGTGCTCTGTCATCTGGCTTCATCATGGGGTTTGGAAAGACTGGTGGAATAACTCCATCAGGGCTCCGGACTGGACGACAGCAGTTGGCGTTCCCACATTTCCTAATCTGAAATATCATTTTTATATGTACTTGTCCGTCACAAGATGAAAAATGACCGAAAGAAAATTATAAATTAAAAAACTACACCCCATTGAAACTGAAACACAAACAAGACAGGACAATCACAGCACAGATGCATAGGTATTAAATGCACATAGATGGACTTTGGTTCTGCACCTCGGGAAGTTGCTAAATAAGGTGGAAGGCAGAGAAGTCAAAAGACGAGTCCACCACCAAACGAACAAACCATAGGCAGTAATCAGAAGAACATTGAGGGAAAAGCGGTTGTAAGAATCAGTGACAAAAGAAAACAATGTGTACCAAGATGCAAACAAAACAAAAACATTAAACATTTACCAGTGTCAAGATTGAAGCTGTCAGAAGTGTGTAATATACAACATCTGCAAAACGTATATGAATTAATTCACACTTTGATACTAGTAGTACATGTACATACTATCAGAATATATATACCTGTAAGGAATATGTCCCCTCAACGCAGTGTGCAGCCATGAAGTGATGGTAGCCGTCTACTTTCTTCATGTCATTCTTTGTGTACTTCCCAATGGCAATTTCGGGATCCACTAGTTGTTTGACTTGACGCTCAAACTCCAACACATCTTCTGCAGTGACGGGTGCCAGCATAGATTTGAATGATTTTCCTTTAAGCTGCACTCTCTCTGTCCTGTCATTCAGCAGGTTGATCAGTGGGCTTAAGGAATTTATCCATGCCTCCTTTAGAGTTGGCTCACGTTCTGCTTTTCGGCGGATGTCGGTCATGCCATTACAGCCTTTCACAATTTGCTCAAGGAGGCTTGACATCTCCTGGCGGTACAACGCTACATTTTGATACGCCAAATTCAGCAAACTCATGATGCGTTCTGCTGGGTTTGCCCATGAATGGCCAGGTGCGGTTCTAGAAGCTATCAACATATCCAGATCCAAGTTCTTAAAGAGAACGATGAGTGACAACTTGACAGCATTGTATGTCACCCTGTGATCGGGTCCCCCATCAGCATACAGCAGGAGCAGAGGCTTCACATAATCATGTTCATGTTTCAGCATCTGGCAAAGTTCAGCAGCATGACGAAATGGGGAGGAGGGCTGGAAAACAGAATCCTTCAGAGTCACGTACACCTGACCTCTATAAAATGAGCCGGCACACTCCTCTGGTATGTCGACGTCCAGACAAACTGAAGGCGTGAGGGATCCTTTGCTGTTGACATCATGGTCTAGGGCAGACAAGGTTGACGTTGTGGGAACAATCGATTTCTTCCCTCGAACACCCGTGGATATTGCCAAACCAGGTTCTCCGTAGTCTACCTTTGCTTTGTCATCCATGCACACCAATGTTGAGATATCTCTGTACTTTACAGCAAACTGCTTAAGATAGGAGAAGATGGCTGCACAGTAATGTTCATCGATATGAGCTGAACGTAGCTGCCTAGTCTGAACCTTGTGCAGCAGATTGATTCTACCCTTGAATAGCTTGGCTGAATGTGCGTATGCATTTTTTGGGACAAACGCAAACAGCACTGTGCTTTCACTGGGGATTGCTGTCCCTTCAGGACACCCTTTTGTTGTCTGGTCAATGAGATCACGTATGGAAATGTAATGACTGAAATGTTCCACATTGTGTCTTCTCTCATCAGCAGCTGTGTAGATCTCTATCTGTTGCTCTAATTTCTCGAAGAAAGTTGAGAAAGTGTCATCTGGCCTTCCTTGGTTGAGATGTCTAAGGTCTACCACTAGATCGGAGTCATCACCAATGATAGCTTGTCGCATCCGTTCATCAATGGCGGGATTTAGGTCAGCTGATGCATCCAGAGTAAGTTCTGTGTACATGGACCTTAACACATGTGGTGGAATTGCTACTCCTGCCACGTTTCCATATTTGTTTTGAAAATCGCGCTTCATTTCCCGAGTGTGATATTCTGGTAGCCTTCTTTCCAACTGTTTGGCCATCTTTGCAGCTGTTGACATCATTTCAACTGGAGATCGATCCTTTGGTACCCTCCAAATAAACACAGTTTGACCTATACCTCCACCTGGATCGTAGCGAAGGATGTCAATATCACAGGACAACGCAATGTCATTTAGAAAACGGTATCGTTCACGTCTGTCTGCGAATGGTTGACGAACATGGATATTCTCATCGAAATAGACGGGGTGATTCTCTCCTATCTCAGATGTGAAGATCTGGTTGAGAGTACTGTACTTTGCCTGTATAGGTCCATTACAGGCAGGAGCGTACATGACACTTACATGTTCTGCTACCTGTCGTACTGGATGGGTGAGAAGCTGACGGTACTTCTGTGACTGATTCTCATTCTCTAAAAAAAGTGGCATAAGAGTCTAAAGACAGGGCCAGTGCCTCTAAATCCTGTCTCAAGTTGCCCCACGTTGATGTGAACGCGAATCCAATCAGACGAAATATCAGTCCACTGTGTCTTTTGAGCTCTTGTGATCCGAGTCGTGGGGCAGCTTTGCGTTTTCCCTTGAAGTCATTGTAGTTGTTGAAATTCCCTTGGAACCTCGAACATATTTAAACAAAAGGGAATATTAAATATACATGTACTAAGACTTCAAAATGGTGGATATTTAACATATTTACAATTTTCAAGATGATAGATGGACTGGGTGTTTAACGTCTGACGTGCTTAGGATTATTTCACTCATATGACGACGTGTATGCATATGTATGTGTGTGTGTGTGTGTCTGCTTGTGAAGATTGGGTTTCTGCTAATTCATTATAGCGCTACCTCAGTAGAATACAATGTCGCAGTTCAGCACAGATACCCCACCCGGACACATTTGACCAACTCCAAGCCGACCCAAATACCTTGGTGGGAGAGGTTTCACATGATGTGATTCTGCTCTCTGCTGGATTTTGTCCTTGTTCCCATCGATATACCACAGGGTGTCCACAATGATATTGACGTGCTTGCGGACAGTCTCCCCAGGCAATGATTTGGGGAAGTGGGCTAGGGATTTATCCATGTTATCAACGACGTCATTGTATAAACGATCCTTCGCTGAAAGTGTAAAACAGTGAAATTGCAAAATGTGTTCAGTGTGTGGGGGGGTACATTGAAATGATAACTGATGTCTGACACAGGATGAAATGTATTGAAATATATCTGATATATGAAAACATATCAGACATCTGTAATATTGCTAAATGTATTGAGTACTCCCTTTTTAAATTGACTACATTAGGAATTTGCTATGGTAAAATTTGTGTGAGGGGGCCTGCCAGCAAACTAAATTTTCGAGAATGTAAATAAGTAAATTGTGATGTGATATTTCGAGTAATACAGTATCATAAACATCTACTTATTATCAAGTTACAGTATCATAGACATATACTTATTAAATTAGGTCTATACTAAGGCTTTAGTACTTGCCAGTAAATCGTATGCCATCAGTAGGCAGCCGTTTGGGGGCGATCCTCTCGGTTTGTGAAGCCATCATAACTTGGAATGCATCCTTGCCCTTGGAACCTTCTTCTGTTTGTTATTCGAGAAAACGATCGAGTGGACCGGATCGGCGGTGGCGCCGCCCTGGTGAGTGACTCAGAGTGAGTTTACGAAACTCCCATTGCTAAGTTGGTAGGGCTGTCATTGGTATGAAATTATTTCGATTCGATTATTGATATTTTTGTTTTCGATATTTCGATCTGATTCGATCCGATTCGATTTAATATGTAATAAAACATGTAGCAAAAGATTGATGGTGTTTTTTGTTGTTATTTGTAGCATTGTAGGTGTGTTTTATTGTTTTGTATGGGAATGTATGCACTACAATAATATTATTATAAGCCTGTTATATATCTTTATCTCATTACACAGTTTACAGACGACTTTAGATTAAGAGTTGACTTTTAGAACCGCTTGCCACAATAAACATTCATCATGAAATCAACATGGCTGAAAAGAAGAAGTGGTGCCACCTATTATTACCAAACTGAACTAAACGTCTTAGATTTGTCTCCACTGTCCTGATTGTTCTAAGGTCTAAATAAAAGGATTATAAAGGGGCGCAACACCCACCATTAGTAAGTTTATTATTAAGTCGAAACTTGTAGAACTTTGTAAATCAGATGCTCGCTTCCCCGTGTTGTGGGAACAAACTCCACATTGTCTTGATCAGCCATTGCGTATGGTGTATTGCGGCTAGCCAACTGAGCAGAATGAGATGATCACCAACATGCCAGGGAAACAATAGAACATGATGCTATGACGTCACGCGCATAAGGTCTATTGATTCTTTTTTAAGAATGGAGGATCAATTTTGTGCAGGGGGTGGAAGCAACATAAAATATTAGCGAAATGGGAAACTGGCGAAGTGGGAAAATGGGAAAATGGCGAAATGGGAAACTGGCGAAATGGGAAAATGGCGAAATGGGAAACTGGCAAAATGGGTAATGGCAAAACGGCAAATGGCGAAGTGGGAAACTGGCGAAATGGGAAGACACCCTCAGGTCAGCGACACATGTACATAAACGTGAAGTTATACATTGTATCAAGCCACAGGCACTTGGGACGGTTTATTCCCATTTCGCCATTTTCCCACTTCGCCATTTCCCATTTCGCCATTAAAATTTCCCATTTCGCCATTTCCCATTTCGCCATTTCCCACTTCGCCATTTTCCCATTTCGCCAGTTTCCCACTTCGCCAGTTTCCCATTTCGCCAGTTTCCCGTTTCGCCAGTTTCCCATCCCGCCATTTCGTCCTATCTCCCCGACCACCCCCTAACCTTGTTCAAGGTGGGTTGAAAGTAGGCCTCTGTAATGAATAAATTATAACGAATCTTTAAATATGAATAAGTAATAAGTAATGAATAAGTAATAATAAGTAATAATAATAAGTAATAATAAGTAATAAGTAATGAATAAGTAGGCCTCTCTAATGAATAAATTATAACGAATTTTTAAATATGGAGTCAACTGTTTATTTGAATAACAAGAAGGCGAAATCGTACATATCAAAACATATGGATCATGTACAGGCACAAGAAAGCGAAATGGTACATATCAAAACGGTGTCAGGACAATTACCCCCCGGACAATTACCCCCCATGCCATTTACCCCCCATGCCATTCACCCCCCGGACAATAACCCCCCGGACAATTACCCCCCGTGCCATTTAGCCCCCATGCCATTCACCCCCCG